CCCCTCCTCCCCCTCCCCCTCCTCTTCCTCCTCCTCCTCCTCCTGCTCCTGCTCCTCCTCCTCCTCTCCTCCTCTCTCCTCCTTCCTCCTCCTCCTCCCTCCTCCTCCTCCGCCTCCTCCCCCTCCTCCGCCTCCTTCACAATGACACAATATGAATACCGGCCCGGTGACGTCCAGGAAATGGCCGGCCCCCATCCACGTACTGGTTTCTCACAAACCGGATTTCCCGGAAACGGGCTTTCGCTGTGGATGTTGTTCAAAATATGCTGCTTTTGCTGAGGCGCTGGCTTCATTTTCGGGACACCGCTCGTTCCGAATCGTGCTCCCGCTGCAGCGCTGGCCTCATTTCCGCGCTTCCGCTCGTTCCGAATCGTGCTCCCGCTACAGCGCTGGCGTCATTATTTCCAGTGCCATACCACGGCATGGTTTTCGGTCCTTCCAAGTAGGCTCCGAAATCTAGAAACTATCCCCTGACACAACCCATCGGAAGAGATTACATTGTCGGTTTCGATTCGCTGAATTGTTTGTGTCGCAGAAGCCCTTCCCCACTTTGGGGCGTCGCCACGCCATGCTATGTCAGGCTCCGCGTCCTCCGAATCGTGCTCCCGTTGCAGCGCTGGCCTCGTTTCCGCGCTTCCGCTCGTTCCGAATCGTGTTCCCGGTGCAACGCTGGCGTCATTATTTCCAGCGCCATGCAACGGCATGGTTTTCGGTCCGTCCACATAAGCCCTAACATGTAACAAAAATGCATGCCCCCCCCCCGACAAAAAAACATCGTAAATGATTGCGCATTCGGTTTCGGTTCTCTTTGATTACTGGGTCACAGAAGCCCCCCCCCCCACTTTAAGGCATCGCCACGCCATGCTATGTCAGGCTACATGTCCTCATTTCCGCGCTTCCGCGCTCAGCGTTGGCCTCATTTTCGGGCGACCGCTCGTGCCGAATCGTGCTCCCGCTGCAGCGCTGGCCTCATTTCCGCGCCACCGCTCGTCCCGCATCGTGTTCCCACTGCAGCGCTGTCGTTAATATCTCCAGCGCCATGCCGCGGCATGGTTTTCGATCCTTCCAAATCGGCTCAAGACTCTTGAAAATGCCCCCCCCCCGAAAAACAATCGGAAGTGAATACACATTCGGTGTCGATTCGTTCATGGTTTGGGCCGCGGAAGCCCCACATTATACTATGGGGCGTCGCCACGTCATACTATGTCATGCTACGCGTTGATCTTCAATACCATGCTATGCTATGGAATGCTATGCCATGTTGCGGCATCCGATTGTGCGAATAGAGAGAGGAGATCTACGCCATGGTAAGTGATGGGAGGGAGGGGTAGAACGTCATGACGCGAGCGCACATAGCTTGTCCTCCTCCTCCTTCCCCTCCTCCTCCTCCTCCTCCTCCTCCTCCTCCTCCTCCTCCTCCTCCTCCTCCTCCTCCTCCTCCTCCTCCTCCTCCCCCTCGCCCCCGTTTTGCTGCCGCCGGCATCCGCCACCCCTCCCGCCGCCTCCACCCCCGTGTTGCTGTCGAGCCAGAGGCGCCGACTCCCTCGACAACCCCTGCAGGCGAGAGAGGAGGAGGAGGAGGAGGAGGCAGAGGAGGAGGAGGAGGAAAGGGCAGAGGAGGATGAGGAGGAGGAAAAGGCAGAGAAGGACGAGAAGGGTGAGGAGGAGGAAAGAGGAGGAGGAGGAGGAGAAGGAGGAGGCAAGAGGAGGAGGAGGAGGAGGAGGGAGCGCCCCGCGTGGGCACCGTGGGCGCGGCGGTCAGGCCGCGCATGCCCACAGCGCCCCGCGCACCTCGGGCGCTGCCGAATACTGGGGGGGGGGCGATGACTGATCTGGAAGCCCGAGACGCGTACGGAGAAAATTGCACAATGCCCAGCAACAAATGTTGTCCCAAACCAACAGCGGCCGCTGTTGGGCGGGCGGCCTTCCGTTTCAAATTGACACAGGCCGCGGCGACACCGACAGCGAGTCCTGTTCAAAATGACGAGGAACTTTTGTTGAGCGTTGTGCCCATTCTTTCCGTACCCATTTCGATCGCCCCGAACTGAGGGAGCGAAGAAGCGTGCACATTTCGTGCCCCTTTGGGGCCCCCTTCAGGCCTTTTCAGGTGCACGAGGAGTGCACCGTCCTTCGCCCCTCCATTTCTTGTCGGCGGCGAGCGAGGGTGGGCAGTGAGAGCGGGCGGGCCTTCTCAGAAGGCTCGGACGTTCCTCGGCCTGGCGAAAAGATGCCCCAGCCTTCCCCGAAGACGCAGTGAACTTCTCAGAAAGCGCGAGGACTTCCAAGAAGTCTCGCCGCCTTCTCAAGAGGCCTTCTCCCTCTCATTTCCCCCCCTGGCTCGCCGCCGATATTGGGGAATCAAAAAGGTACCGACACCGCCACTCCCCGGGCCTCTCTTGGGGTGCATGATGACCAGCACTCCGATGCGAATCCAGTGGTGCCTCCGAGGCCTGCGGTAATTATGGGGTGCCAGTTTCCCCCTCTGACAGAGACCCGAGGATACGATGACGAGGTTTTCCATCCGGGCGAATCTCCTCGATCTCGGCTTCCGGGGCCCCTGATCGTCGACTACAAGTGTAAGTAGTGACCCCAGGCTAAGAGTGACCTTTGGTGCGCGGCTTCAGGGGCGCCCGTGGGGGCCCGACGCAATCGGGCACGTGGGGCGCCCGTGGATGGCCCCCGAGCCCGATCACGGGGCCCTGGGACCGCGCTTTTGACCACCCTCGCTTCCAAGAGATACCAAGCGACGCAAAACTACGGCCTGCGCTGGTGAGGCCGCTTGTCGAGGAGGCGCGTGGTATGACTTGGTTATGCCTGGAAGCGAAAGCGGCTCTGAGGGATGAAAGACCACCCCCGGGGAAGGGGTCGGGACCTCTGGGGCCGCGGATTGAAAAAGAGCATATCGGCGAATGTCTAGGTTCCCAGGCATCCGACGCCTCGATGCTTCCAAAGCGCGGGCCCCGACCTCCCGACCACTTCCCCGGGGCCGGCGTTTCATCCCGAGTCGTTTTTGTTGACGGTCCCGAGGCCCGGCGAGGGCCCCAAGGGGACAAAGACTAGGAAAAACCTCCGTCGCGTTTTGTCGAGACGCCCGATGTCTGGGTCCCCCCCCCATTTCGGGAGCGGCCAAGAGGGGGGTGTCCAAGAGGGGGTGCAAATCATGGCCGGCGGCATGTGCGCGGCCCAGCGGGGGGGCCAGACACGTAATGGAATAAGAAGAGGCGCCATGAAATCTGAGGAAATATCATGGCCCCCGCCATGAGATCCCCCCCCCCCAGTCATCACCCCCCTCTTTCCCCCCCCCGACCATTTCGCAACGTCCGAGCACCATCCGCCGGGGCTCTGCCGGCCCACCGCCCGCAGGGTGGCGGCGCAGGGCCTATAGGTCGGGCACGTCCTCCTGCAGGCGGATTTTGGACGAAAAGCAAGCCAGAGCCCCCCAAAATCCAACATCGTATGACAAATTGTCGACAGATCGCCCCCAGACTATTTTGCCCAGAAATCCGAATTCGTATCAAAAATGGTCGACAAATCGCCCCCAGACTAATTATTTTGATACTATTTTGGAAGATGCCTCCTGTAGAGGTGAGGGGCAAAACGATAGGGGGGGGACTGGCATGGGAGGGGGTGCATCGACCTGGAATCGGCGATGCGTCGCCGATAGATCGGCGAGAGGCCTCTGACAGCCAGCCCACACCTTCCTGGGCAGGTCGGGGCTTTCGGGCCCCTATCGGCAACCAATGGGCGATTGGGGGTCGATGCATCCCCAGACATCCGACGTCGCGAACTTTTTCAAAACGCGGGCCCCCGACCTCCCGACCACTTCCCCGGGGCCCGCTCTTCGTCCAGGGTCGTTCTTTGACGGTCCCGAGGGCCGGCGAGGGTTCCGAGACGCCCAAGAAGTAAGAAAGACCTCCTTCTCGATTTTGTCGACACGCCCGATGTCTGGGCTGCCGATCCCCCCTGTAGTCGGGGCCTTGAAGAAGGAACGCTTTTCGTTGGGGAGGGGCTCGGTGTTCCTTGATTGTTTTACAGTTTGCCTCGGGTTTCCGTTAGGCTTTTGAATGGGAAGTCGAAGTTCAACTTATGGAAAAGAGGGGCCTCGTTCCTTATTTAGGGTTCCTTAGGTCAACGCCTCGACTGTATAGCGTTGCCCCTGTCGAGGGACCTGCCCGACTTGCGCGCAGGGCCCGGCGCGCGCGCGCGCGGCCGTGGCCGCGGGCCCCGCGCGGCGCTCGCGGCGCGGGCAGACCGGCGCGCGGCACGGGCGCCACGGGTGGGGCGGGCGGGGCGCGCGCGCGGCGCCGGCTCCGGCTCTGGCTCCTCCTCTCCTCTCCTCCTCCTCCTCCTCCCTCCTCCTCCTCCCTCCTCCTCCTCCTCCCTCCTCCTCCTCCCTCCTCCTCCTCCTCCCCTTCTTTCTCGGCTCCTGGGCACTCTGCTGATGCTTTTCAAAAAAAGCAACAGACCTGGCTGGCGAACTGTTGGGCCGGGCATGTTTTGCTACGGGCGGATGCTCAAGTACATCTCTATATCTATATCTGTATATATATATAGCCCGGGCGATCACTACACTGACCAGACGATGAATTTTATCGTGAGGCGAGCGCGAAGGCACCACGTCGGGGCCGCCGCTGTCGAGATTCAAACTGCAGTTGAGATAGGGGGTCAGAGAGTGATCAGCACAGAGCATCTGGACGCCGAGTACCGAAAGCGGGCAAATAAGAGGGAGGGAGGGAGCCTTGAGGATTACGGAACGATGTTCCTGCGGCCAGCTGCGACACTACTTGGCTTAAAGTGGTGAACGCATCCAGCCCGGGCGATCACTACACTGACCAGACGATGAATTTTATCGCGAGGCGAGCGCGAAGGCACCACGTCGGGGCCGCCGCTGTCGAGATTCAAACTGCAGTTGAGATAGGGGGTCAGAGAGTGATCAGCACAGAGCATCTGGACGCCGAGTACCCGATCCCGCACAGGAGGATTGGCCGGAACTGGCCGCACTACAGGCCCATAGAAATAAATTTCAGCCTATGAGTTTTCAAATTCTCAGCAGCTTGGACCATGCATTGAGCGGCAGCATTGGCAAACGAGACAGGGTACGGAGTGGCGATGCTGGTCCATTTGCGCCCTCCCGGCGCATTACCAGAGAGCTCTATGTGGCGTTTTTTGGTCATACTGCAAAATCCGTGCTTGCCAGAACAGCGCTTGCACAGCGAGGGAGGACTGCCGCCGTGCCAGACGGCTATTCTAGTTGCCTCTCTCCAGGGGACGTGATACTGACAGAAATCGCAGCAAGCATCGAAAAAGACGGGGCTACTCATGAGGTCTTTCATGTGCTCAGTCCACCACATAATCGAGGTCCTCGGATTCTCCAGGAAGACAGGAATGTTGGAAGCAATACAAAGTCTGATAAGCATAACGCTGAAGAAGAACGTGGCGTTGCCAATCCTCAAGCGCTCGAGCTCAAACTCAGACAGATCGTGCACGCCGAGGGGATCCGCACTGCTCCGCAAAGGGCGGCGAAGGGCACGCGCCCACGTAGTACATGGAGTACCTAGCCACAGCGCAGCAATGCAGCCTGACGTTAGCCGACCAACTATGACCTTCTGGAAAGTAGGGTCAAGGTGACCATCACGTGGATTATTGAGCAGATCGAAAGACAACGCACGATACCCAAGCTTCTGAATTGCAGCCGCAATGCGACCACTGCCTGCAAAGAGTTCCAGGAAGACGAGATGCTTCATGAATCGAGGGCGCGGTACAGCACAGGCACGAAAGGCGCGCTGCAGATAGCGCCGCACCTCGGGCTCCAGGAACTCCCCGGCAGCCCGCGTGGCACGCCCCTCCCGGGGCCCAGCAAGGCCGCGATGCGTGGAGGCAGTCGCACCGGCGACTGCGCGCTGTCGAAGCCCTCGGCCATCACGCTCGCGAAGTTCGCCTCCACCGCGCGGCCGAGCTCGAACGCATCCTCGGGCACCTTCGCCATCTCGAGCAGGAGCCGGGTTGTCTTCCCGTACCTCTTGAGGCTCGTGATGGTCGCCCAGCGCCCTCTCACCTTCACCTCTTCCTGAGTCCTGACAGCAGTCACGAGGTCGTCGCTGGCGCCGCCGTGGCGCAACGAGTACAGGTGCGGGGAGAGCGCCTCGAGGCCGAGGATCTTGACCAGCATGGTGAACTGTCTCTGCAGGTCCGCCGGAGAGAGGTCCCACAGGCTGCCGTCTTCGAGCGACTGGTGCTTCAGCGCCTCCAGACACGGCAGCAGCCACACGCACCTGTCCAGGAGCACCGCGGCGTCGAACATCCCCGTCCCCCCTGGGTCCCCCAGCGATGCGTCGTGGAGCAGCAGGCCCCAAGAGCTGCACTGCCGGCCCGCCACGACCTTCGGGGCGACGAGGTGCTTCCCGCGTAAGAGGAACGCCTCGTGAGGCCTCAGGTACGCCACGAACGTGATCACCACCCACAGGCACATACGCGGGAAGCCCAGGTGGCGGAGGCACCCAGCCAGAGCGAGGGCCGCCGCGCGAGGCAACGGAAGTCGCATGCGCGGCGGGACCCTCCGGCGCCAGGCGACTAGACAGCGGCTGGCCCGCGGCAACTTCGCCGCTGTCGACTTGTAGAGGTCTGGGACGAAGTGCGACAGGCTGGCCAGCAGTTTCGAGCCGTCCTCCACGCTCGCTCCCTCCAGGAAGAGCGCGTTGAAGAACGCGACCAGCAGGGAGTCCAGCTCGCCGGCGCTCTGCCAGTCCGCTCCCATCCCCTGACAGTACTGGAGGAAGTGAGTCGCTATGCCCACGTACAGCACCTCCGTGCCCGGCGTAACGGCCAGGCTCTCCAGCAAGCTGAGGTTGCCCACAGGTGCCCGCGCTGCCGTGAGACGCGAGGCGGAGGCAGCTCGCTGCGCCTTCAGCACCCCGGCTCGCGAGGTCGGCTTCGCCCGCTGGCGTGGGCGCCTGGCCGGCAGGCCCTTTGGCGCCATCGTCTGGATCCGACGCGTCGTGCGGGGCCACGCCGGTGGGCTCCTCTGTCGGCCCAGATGCATCGACCGATGCATCGACATTAGAGCCAAAACAGCGACCCACAGGGCGAGGAGGTAGGTGAGGGCCCACAAACCAGCCCAGCTTGCCTCTGGAGGGTATATCCGCGGGGTTGACCTCGGACGGGATCCAACGTGTGTGAAAGCGTGCCCCAGAGACGAGCAATAAACATGCCAGCTTACGTAAGGGATGAAGCAGATGACGCGACGTCCCTCGGCCCTTGCAGGCCGCCAGAGCTAAGGGCAGGTTGTCCACCAGCAGGACCACGCGACGATTGAAAGCCTCCGATGACCTCAAGATGTGCTTGGCGGCCACCATGAGGGCCTCCCCCTCGAGCTCCAGGATATTGGCGTCCACAAGAACCCTCGACGCGAGCACAGTAACCCAGGGGCCCTTCAGCACGTCCTCGGGCACCTCCTCGAACAAAGCCCCGAGACCTCAAGGAACTGCTGGAGGTCCTCGATGCCCTCGACCGGCGTGGAGTCCCGCAAAGCGTCTTGAGCGCCACTGAGGGGTCCCACAGGAGGCTGATCAGGCCCAGGTACTGGTGGCCCAGGACAGTGACCCCCGGGCTCAGCGACAGGGTGACGATCTCTCTCCAGACGTTCCAACGCATGTTTTCTGGCGCGCTCCGCACCGGCTACCTGGTACCTCCATCGCTCAGCATATCTGCCTATCTCGCCAGACTGTTCCGGCGACACAACACGCGTGCATACTCCGATGCCGAAGAGGGATGCATCTGATGCTGCGATGACGTTGTGCCAAAGGATGTTGATCTGTGTGAAGAGGAGAGGCAGGATTGAGCGGAAGGTCCACAGCTCCTGCCGCACCCGCGGCCAGAGCTTCTGCGGTCGCTCACCGACTGCGTGCATGAACTGATAAGATGCATTGAAAAAGCGACAGCACCTCACGAGGTAGAAGGGCTGCCCAGGTCACATGACCCATCACGATCTGGAGTGCCGAGCCGCTGCGTACACCACGTCTCAGCAAGGCCTCGATACCGTACCTGAGACGCCACAAGTTAGAAGGCTTGATGGACACCCTGGACCCCTCACTGAAGCTCAACCCCACGAACGAGATATCCTGGCTCGCGGCACTCAGCTCATGAACAGAAAGGCCCAGTGACTCCAAGCGTCTGCACACACTATCCAGCCCGGACTGCACTGCCTTGCGGTCCGAACCTAGAATCATGAAGTTATCCACGTATCCTGCACTGGCCGTGTCCGAGCGCTGGACGAGGGATACTGCAGGCAAGCCATCTTCTATGATGCGAGACGATTCGAAACCTTCGAGCTTGAGCGCATGTTGTAGAACACCCTGACAGATATGTAGTGCCCAAGACCAGCCCATGGGAAGTACACAGACACACGGAGCGATCATGTCACCTGGAGAGACTGGCACCCCATCGACCTCGACGACACCTAAATGCCTAGCTGCTATAGCTGGAAGCCTAAACATCTCGTCAAGTCCCTCTGGAATGGCAAGCCTGTAAAACGCACACTCTATGTCCCCTGCCGCGAAAAAGGCGTCGCGCCCCACATTCTCGAACCCGGCAAAAGCCCCGGGAGTGGGGAGGCGCGTCCGAGGGGGGTCAATAAAACTGGTATTCGCGGCACGGGTATCAAAAATCAGTCTGATGTCGCCCGACTTCTTGGCGACACAAAATATTCCGACAGTGGCGCCACGACCGGCAGCCTTCCGATACCGCACCATCCCTCGCTGCCTAAGCTCAGAGACAAAGTCGCCATAGGCGAGAGGGCTGTTTTTCAAAATCGGATCGGTGTAGGGGCCATTCGGGCAAAGTTCCGCACGCAAAGAATCAGCGGCAGCAGGCGATCTTAGCATATGATCGCGCCAGAGACCGAGCCACTTCGAGTCGGCCTGCGCCAGGCAATCGGACAGACAAGTCGGCGCGTTGCCACGCGCAGGCCAAGAGACTTTGCGCTTGACGTACGGCCGTTGGGTAGAGGATTCTTCAGAGTAGAGACCTGACCCTGCAAAGAGCGCGTCGAGGGCTCCCTTGCGAAAAATGGGATCGCCTGGCGGCGGCGGAACACTGAGATAAACCGTCTCGATGTTGCGAAGTGCCGCGGCCTGGCCGGCGTTCCGCACATCCGACGACGGTGTGCTGAAGCCAAAAAGATGGTTGAGGCACGACGTCCCGTCTGAGGCCCAATCTATCGCATGCCGGCAAGAGGCCAGCCTGCGGGTCGTGCCCCGAGAAAGCGAAGCGCCACCAGACCGAGGAAGACTGTGACAGCTGGGCAGCGGCAAAGGAAAGATGTCTCTGTGCCTTCCCGGGCACTGCAAGCCTGCCTCCGTGCAGCTAATGTCGGCTCGTGCAGGGCCAGCCGGGGGCGCGGCTGGCGGGTGTGACATCACCCCTGCCCCGACTGCTCCCCCTTGGCTCCCTTCTTCGGGCGCGCGAGAGTGCGTTCCTCGCGCGCCTTGCGGCGCTCCTTCATGACGGCGTACTCCTTGGACAGCTCTGACGCGATCCACTGAGAGAGTTCGGGCATGACACATAGATTGCCTCGCACCAGGTCCGTGCCCCGGGCAAGGTTAGAATCGAGACGATCATCGCTGCCGCCGGCCACCTTATCGCGATAGCGTTCCTCGGCAACCTGCATCTCGCGGGCGGCGATCTCTGCAGCAGCAACATTTGGAACATTCACCTGATCATAGCACGCTGAAGTCTCGAGAAGCCTGCAGCCGCCTTCGTGCGAATCGACGCTTGGATCGCCAGGCTGCAGCCTACAATCAGCACGCCACCGATTATGCCTTCCTAGCGGGGTTCCCCCGTTGGACAAGATGAATCTACAAACCCAAAGCGTCGTCCTCGGACCCCTGATGGGCCAGTCTGGCAACGGATCCTCAGTGAAGAGAGAGACCGCATCCCTGAACTCCCGGAATCGGGAGCCCGTGGCGTCATACATGACAGGGTTGGTGCGAGCATCCGTTCCCCCTCCAGGCGGCGGCTGCGCGCCGGCTGCGGCGACCGCGAGAGGAGGAGCCGCACCTGCCGGCGCTCCACCCCCACCCCCAAGGCTCCTCCAGGAGCACCTCCTCCAGCTGCCGCGGCTGGAGGCGGGCCCAGCGCAGCAGCGAGACGCGCCAGGCCCCCTCCAGGAGCCGGCGCTGGCCCGGCCGCGGCGGCTCCACCCGCCGCGGCGGGCACTGACGCGGCGGGAAGCGCTGCTGCCGGCGCAGCTCCAGCGACGAGGGCCCCGGGACCCGGACCAGGGACACCATCGACCCCACCAGGGGCCGCCCCCGGAGCAGCTCCCGCAGGAGCAGCGGCTGGAGGTCCGGCAGCCCCGCCCCCCCCCGCGTCTGGCGGACCTCCCGCGGCGGCAGGAGGCCCACCCAGCAGAGGATGCGCGTTGCCGGCAGGCGGGGCCAGGCCCATGCGACGATAACCAGCAGCACGAGCCGAGGTCAGCTGAGCGACCGTGGGGATCGCCCTGAACCGGTAGTACGCAGCATTCGGGCCGGCCTGAGGCACCGCGCCGTTCGGACCAGCAATAGCGCACCAATCGAGAACGTCAGCACCAATGATGAGGTCCTCCTCGTACTCGTCCAGATCGGGCGTCACGCTCGTCACGCCAACGAGATAGTTAGGGGGCGTGCCGCAGCAGATACGGGTGCGCCACAACTCACGACCGCCGACGTTGTACCTCATGGCGAAGAACTCCCCCTCACAAAGCCCGAGGGGGTGGGCGACTGCGGCTGGCGCCGCCATCACTGATGAAGGGCCGGCAGCACCCGCTTGCGGATCAACGCCTGCTGACGGCGGGCAAGCTCGGCAATGTCCTCCTCCTCGGACTGTGCTGCGGCCTCAGGTGCTGGAACAGGTACGGAAACCACTGGCGCCGCCGGCGCCCGACGCTGGCAACCGAGGAGCCCGCCTCTCGCGAGCTGGTGTCCGGCGACCAAGCCAGTGAGGAAGGTGGCCAGCACCAAGCCCGTCTGCTCCACGGGGTTCGCCCTCTCGTGGAAGACCTCCTTGAACTGCGTCGGCTCCACGGCCGGGCAGTCACAGTGCACCACAGGCTGGCGCACGGGGCAGGGCGGCGGAGTCTGTGCCCAGAGCAGGAGGCTGTTCGATATCCCCCGAGCAAGCTCTGGGATCGCAACTCTGACAAACTGCATAGGCTGGGCCTGCTTGAGCCTTGAGGATTACGGAACGATGTTCCTGCGGCCAGCTGCGACACTACTTGGCTTAAAGTGGTGAACACATCCATATATATATATGCTCAGGTCTAGCACTGAGATCAACAAATATGTTGTTTTTGCTCAAAGGATGCGAGTGCGAACTCAGAAATGCAGTGTCAGTTCAGCAGCGACGCCGGAAAACTTTTCCTGCTCTCAAGAACAAATCGTCGTCTTGGTGCCAGTAGGCCCACTGTGCAGCGCGCACGCGCGCATCCATCCTCTTCTGGGATGAGCCCGCGGCGGATCGCCTGCCCACAAACTTCCGAATATGCTGCCAACACCGATCAATTATCTGGGTCCCACCTTTTGTGTACGTGGTGGACCCTTCTATGTCGTGGGCGAAGAGCTGCACGTATTTGGGGCGCAGGAACTTCCCGTCTTTGATATTGGCCTTCCCCTGATGTCCGAAGAGCAGGACATTGGAAGTCACAGTCCGCAATGTATGCACGGGGAGCCAGTTCAAAGTAAACTTTGAGCCCGCACGACTACGGATATAACCAACGCGTGGCAAATCTGAAGCTGCGACCTTTGCTAGACACCAATAGCGGCAATGCAACAATGTTGTCATTGAGCACACAAACGTTCGCATGATGCGATGCACTCGTGCTTGTTGTATATTGGCATTCTTAGCCCTCTCCGTGCAAATATACACGCAAATATGCACATGTGTGGGTTCTTCAAGGCAGGCCGGTTGGAGTGGCCACAGTGCTTTGAGAGGGCGCCGCTGTCTGCGATGCCCCTTTCTGATAAGGCCAACCTGGGCCTCTTAGTGGAATCCCTTCCTGGATATATTGCTGGGCCCCTCTTACCAGAAACGCTCAGTGAGAACGTGCACGCTGTGATTGAATGGCACTGGCGGTTCCCAACATGTCGGGTTTCCTATATCAAAACCAAAGGGCCGTTCTGGTAAAGGCCCCCGACATACGAGGCACGAGCGACGGAGACACGGGCCACGTGTGGAGCGCGAGCAGTACTATCAACAGCATCACCACCAGCACGAGCAGCACCAGGACCAGCAACAGCAGCAACATCCGCAGCAATACCGCTAAGGGCATCAGCATCAGCAGCAGCACAATCAGACGGGGAGAGTAAACCCAGAGACTAGAATTGAACACGCTATGTTGGCCAGATGGTGTTTCTGAATATGTATATGCACGCTTCGTGGTGTTTGTTCTGAATTGTATTTTCATCCAGAACTACGTGTATACCCAAACAGTGGAACCACGCTGCGGAATTCCACGGAACTTCCCGAAAGCAACTTCGAACAAGTATTTTCGCAGCGATGATAAGGGGCAGCTGCCCAAGACACACTACGATCTTTTCGGGTGCGTTTCGGGTGCCTTTCGGGTGTTCTCGGGGTGCTTACGGGAGGTCTTCCAGGGCCTAAAAAAACAAAAACATAAAAATGCGAGGGGGACACCAGGGAGGCACCAAAGACACCGAGAGATATCGTGCGTTCAACGTCCTCCGAGTGCCCTGAGCTGTTTATTAACTGTCCTCGGTGAGCACCCCGAGGGCTCCCAAAAGGCACCCGATGAGCACCCCGAGGGCATCCGCAAGGCACTCGGTGAGCACCCCGAAAGCACCCGAAAGGCACTCGATGAGCACCCCGAGGGCACTCGAAAGGCAATCCGCACGACACTTTCCAAGCGTTCCCCAGGGCGCTCGGAAGTGGCTGCGCTTCCTCCTCCTCCGCCTCGTCCTTCTCTCTCCCATCCTCCTCCTCCCCCTCCTACTGATCTTCGTGCTCATCCTCCTGCTCCTTCTGATCCTCCTCCTGAGCCTCGAAAGACGCTGAATTCACAATATATTCCTGGTGTCTCCCTGTTGTCTCCCTGGTGTTTCCTTTTTTTATGTTCTCTCCGACCCTGGAGAATATCCAATCAGCATCCTGAGGGCCCAAGGGCCCAAGGGAACAAAACAAAAGTCCGTTTCTTCCTTCTCTCTCCAATCCCCCCCCTCCTTCTTCTACTGATCCTCCTGCTCCTTCTGTTGCCTTTCCTGGGCCTCGGAGGACGTTGAACTCACGATATGTGTTGGGTGTCTCCCTAATGTCCCCCTGGTGTTTCCGTTTTTTTGTTTTCCTTACGCCATGGAAGATCTCCAATAAGCATCCCGAGGGACAAAGGGGAAAAGAAGAGACAAAGGGGACAACAGGGGACAAAGGGGACAAAGGAGACAAAGGGGACAAACAGGAACAAAGGGACAAACAGACACACAAAAACAAAACAATGAGACAAAATGACACAAAGGGGACAAAAGGGGACAAAAGGGGACACACGGGACAGGAGAAACAAAAGGGGACAAAAGGGGACACAAGGGAACAAGAGGGGACAAAAGGGGATAAAAGGGGACAAGAGGGACAAAAGGGGACAAAGGGGACACAAGGAAACAAAAGGGGAGAAAGGGGATAAAAGGGGACAAAAGGAAACAACAGAGACAAAAGGGATAAAAAGGGACAAAGCGGACAAAAGGGGACAAAGGGGGCAAGGAAACAAAGGGGACAAAGGGGGCAAAAAGGAACGAAGGGGACAAAGGGGGGCAAAAGGTGACAAAAGGAAACAAAAGGGACAGGAGGAACAACAGGGGACAACGGGGACACAAGGGAACAAAAGGGGACAAAAGGGGACAAAAGGGGACAAGAGGGACAAAAGGGGACAAAGGGGACACAAGGGGACAAAAAGGGGACAAAGGGGATAAAGGGGGACAAAACGAAACAACAGGGACAAAAGGGACAAAAAGGGACAAAGCGGACAAACAGGGACAAAGGGGATAAAGAGGACAAAGGGGACAAAAAGGAACAAAGGGGACAAAAGGGAACAAAAGGGGGACAAAAGGAAACAAAAGGGGCAAGAGGGATACAATATGAGACAGGTACGAAAGAACACAAAATCACATGAAAGGCACCCCTAAGGCACCCGCCAAGCACTGGACAGTCACTGGGAAGGCACCCGCAAATCGACCGCACAAGATTTCTGGAACAAGCTATCGCCTCGAAAATTATTGCATGTGCTATTGAACTGCTCGACTACGAAACCAGCGCTTTGCTCCAAGCGACCCAAGATTTCATTGTCAAGGCACCCGGAAAGCACCCGAAAGGCACCCCAAAGACACCCCCAATTCGGCACTCCAATTTTTTATGAAACGCATGCCCTCGAAAAGTGCTAAACGCAGCATTGAAACTTACATATCCGACAACGTGTTTTGCGCCAGGCGCCACAACATGTCATGTTTGTGTGCTCCACCCCCCGCAGAAATTGTAAAAACAAACGTACATAATTTCCCCCTTTTCACATCCTCAAGAAGCCCTCGTGGGCAGCGGTAAGCGCTAGCAGTCCCCCCTTTTTCAAAACCTTGGGCAAGCTCCTCTTGGCTCCCTTTGCAAGGCGCCCGAAAGGCACCCCACAGGCACTCGCAAATCGCCCACGCAAAAATCCTGGAACAACATATCTCCTCGAAGAATACGACATGTGCTATTGAAATGTGCAACTAAGAAATCAACGCTTTGGTCAAAACGAGCCAATGATTGCATGGTCAAGGCTCCCGCAAAGCACCCGCAAGGCACCCGCTATGCACCCCAAAGGCAACCGCAAATTGCCCACACCAAATTTCAAGAAACAACAAATTTTCCAAAAGTGTTGCATTTGCAATTGACATCTGAAATTGAGAAAACAACGCTTTGCTCCAAGCGACCCAAGATTTCATTGTCAAGGCACCCGGAAAGCACCCGAAAGGCACCCCAAAGACACCCCCAAATCGGCATTCCAATTATATTAGGAAACACATACCCTCGAAAAGTGCTAAACGTAGCGTTGAAACTTACATATACGACAACGATGTTTTGCGCCAGGCGCCCCAAAATGTCATGCTTGTGTGCTCCACCCCCCGCAGAAATTGACAAACAATGCACATAATTTCCCCCTTTTCACATCCTCAAGAAGCCCTCGTGGGCAGCGGTAAGCGCTAGCAATCCCCCCTTTTTCAAAACCTTTAGCAAGCTCCTCTTGGCTATCTTTTGGCTCCATCTTGGCTTCCTCTCATATCCCTATTGGCTTCCTTTTGGCTCTGTATCGATGGATTTCTTGTGTACCCATTTTCAAATGGATTCCTGTTGATGCGGATTACAATTGCATTCCTGTTGTGGGGGATTACAATTGGATTCCTGATGTAACGAATTAAACATTGATTCCTTCTGTGGCGGATTCCACATGGATTCCTTTTGTGGCGGAATACAAAGGGAATTTCTTTTGTGGCGGATTACATATGGATTCCTTTTGTGGCGAATTACAAATGGATTCCTTTTGTGGCAAGCTCAGCTTGCCAAAACCTTGGTTTTCCTTAGGTTTTGCAGTTTTTTCGCTTGGTTTTCTTAAGATGTCATTGGTTTTCTTTGTTTTTTTCGCTTTTTTTTTTTTTTTGCCTTTTTTGCATTTTCGCCTGCCCGCCCCTGGCGGCGCGAGGGCCGGCGCAGCGCCACGGCGCGAACAAGCGAAAATGCACAAAAAGCGAAAAAAAAGACAAAAAAAACAAAGAAAACCAATGACATCCTAAGAAAACCAAGCGAAAAAGCTCCAAAACCTAAGGAAAACCAAAGTTTTGAACGCCTGATAGCCACCAAACATATGAAAACACATTGTGTTGGCTCATCGACGTCACGAAACACTGTGTTTTCAAAGGTTTCGTGGTCACCAGCTTGTCAAAACCTTGGTGTTCCTTAGGTTTTGCAGCTTTTTCGCATGGTTTTCTTAGGATGTCATTGGTTTTCTTTGTTTGTTTCGCCTTTTTTGTTTTTTTTTGCATTTTCGCCTGCCCGCCCCTGGCGGCGCGAGGGCCGGCGCAGCGCCACGGCGCGAACAAGCGAAAATGCAAAACAAATGCAAAAAAAGGCGAAAAAAGCAAAGAAAACCAATGACATCCTAAGAAAACCAAGCGAAACA